TACTCTATTCTATTCGGAAGTGTGGGTGAGAGACTGGTTCAACTGAGCTCTCTAACCTGGTTAGAGTTTACAGGTTTAAACAAATATATATCCTCCAGGCTTAATAAATATGTTATATGTTTACTCGCATAAAAAGACTTATTTTCAAGCTAAAAGGGAGACGCTGTATTCATTTGCAGCTAAACAGTGAAGATTGGTAGCTCCTCCCTGCCTCCCTGGAAGAGTCCCTCGGTTTGCCATATCATTTACCTGGGGGTAGGAGTGGGGGCTGGGGGGGGCGGGGGTAGAATGCTGGCACCTTGAGTAGACAGTATAAGGAATACAACAAATCAATCAGGCCCAACCCCTCTACTTCCCGGGCCAGTAGCTCGGTGCCCCCGGGGAAGGCATCTGTCGGTATTGTTAGTTACGCCCTGGGTGGTGTAAGCTTCTCTGTCATTATCTCCAGAGACAGAGGACTTTTGTTTCATCTCTAATCCTTCGTTCCTATTACTTACTGTTAGGCCGAAGGGAGAGGTCAGCCAATTTTAGTTTCTATTCTTTCCCTCCCTTATTCCTAGTGTATATCAGAGACACGCCAGTTTGCTAGAATGTCAGAAAAAAATTTATTTTCTGAATTTGACTTGTGTTCTGAATGTCGAGACCAGGGGTGGTAGCAAGCTGCACTCCTCATGACTTTACTCTGAACTTACTCTGACTTTGGTGGGAGTCTAAGGGAAAGGACCTGGTTCTTAGGAACAAATATGGCAACTTTTTCATCCAACTGCCAAGGATCACCTGACCTTCGGCAGGCCCAGTTGTTTCTCGACTTCATCCTTGGACCGAGGGAAACCCTTACTAGTGGATTCTGCAGTGTCACCAGGGTCGTATCTGCTGCCCAGATGTCCTGCCCTTTCAGCTGGATCAAATATCCTGCCCCATTAGGTTTTTGGAGCACGACTATGAAGGAAATGCCACGTTCTACCCAGATGGAGCTACAGACAAGTGAAGGAGAGCCTGTAAAATGCTTAAGAAGCTTTAGGGATGAAAGGATGGGCAGTTCCCAATACAAAGAATTAAAAGGTTAATAGCATCTGACTGGGTTTTGTGTTTCTCTTTTCTAATAACACCTCCACTGTCTCTCCACCCCAATTCTGGTTCTGAAATAGTCACCTTGAACTATAAAAATCAAAACTCAGCAAAGGAATAAACCCCCAGGTTCCTGAGAGTCCAGAGAGCCAGAGTCCAAACACCTTCCTACACCCTATGTGCTCTTTGGCCTCTCTGGACCTCAGTTTCCTCCTCTGCAAAAAAGGTAAAGGTAGCCAGGTGGTTAGAACATTGGGCTTGGCTCTCTGACACATGCTAGCTGTGTGACTTTGGAAAAGTCACTCAGCCTTTTTAAGCCTCAGTTCTCTCACCCATAAAATAAAAATGGTCTCTAAGGTCCCTTCGAGCTTGAATTCTGTGATCCTGTGAAAGGGATGGACTCCATGATCTCTGAGGTCCCCACCATCCCACTTGACTTTTTCTCAATCTGTAGTCTCTGGATTTAGAACAACAAAGTTCAGTGTATGGTCCAGTTTCCCCCCAACCCCTGTCACTTTCCATTGCTCACCCATTGTGCAGTTTGCTTCCCTGGTTGAACCTCTGCCTCCCCTCTTTCCTGTCTCCCTCATCATAGGGCTAGGACTGCTGCCAATGGCCCGGAGTTCTCATTCCTAATTTACGCTACAGTTTCACCAAGACCCTCCTCCCTCCCATTCCAGCCTGGTCTTGTCTGGTCCAGCCGGTCTGAGTCTGCGTCCTCACCTTAATGAGCAGCACAAAAGCGCTAGGCCTGGACCACATCCACAAGGACTTATTATCGGAATTTTATCTGGATAGAAGATCAAGAAGAGTGAAAGGAAAGTGACCCCCATGAGGGAAGAGACAATGAAGCCAGATCCAAAGCTGGTTAATCCCAAAGCATCCCCAAGGCTTTCGTGGAGCATATACAAAGGTTAGCCAGAGAGCCAGATGCTCCAGCCCTTCTACAGCTGTGCAACCCAGTCATGAAACCTCAGTCAGCACACTGCGTGCCTTCTGCAGCTAATGAGCAGGACTGCTCCCCTGGCTAAGGCAGAAAGGCACAAGAGAGCTGGAACAAGCAGACAAGGAGAGCAACGCAAGAAAGAGGGCCGAGGTTTTCATGGTCACGGACTCTATTGCTAGGATTGCTAGGAGTCACCTTGACAGCATAACCTATGCTGCACGGATAACAAAAAAATGGATGGGTTCTAGCATGTTTTCGGGCCAATTGTTGGGGGCAGGGAAATGTAAAACCCTTTTACACAAAGGATAGGTGTTTGGGAAGCCGAGGTGGTTTTGTCAGGTCCCCATTGGTATGAACAACTAATTCCTCCTGAAGTGATCATATGAATTTGAATTCATACTATTTGAAGTTGCGATTATGTAAAGTATGGTCATTGGTTCCAGTACAAAGGAAATATGTGGTAAGAAGGTGAATAAATAATATGATCATGTCACAAGATTCATTACCCACAGTAATTGAGATTCAGTTATAATTGAAAAGTTTAGGGGTATAGCCCACTTGAGTAGGAGCAGAGGGGAAGGCTAGGGGAGCAGGGAGATTGGCTCACAGTCCCTCATTATCTTCACTCATAGATGCAGCATCTAATGAGGTATCAAAAAAGAGGATTATTTGGCTTCAGAAAAAGATCACTCCTGGAAAATTACTTGCAAGCAATTCCTTTCTCCAAGACCCAGGCAGATTTACCTTTGAAGGCCTTAAGCTTGTAAAAGCTCAGAGGCAGGAATCCCAGGCAAAGGAATGAGTCCCAAAGGAGCACTTCTCATACCCAAGTAATCTTGGAACCGAGCTGCACAGCAACGTGCAGCATGTTATGCCTGGCTCCTGCCTCCTCTTGCCAAGGAAATGCCACATATGACACCAAATTCATCTTCAAACGAGAGTGACTCAGGGCCTCAGTGTGCTGGGCTATAAATTCAGCCTGCTGATGACTCCTAAGCAGGATCAAATAGGTAGACAAAGGGATCCAGGATGGAACTAAAACCCACAGAGCTTTGACAATTAGCACAGACAGTAAAAGAAATCACAGGAAGCCAACAAGAAGTTAAAAGAAAGTGCAGGGAGAGGGTAAGAGTGAAGAAAGAAAATGGATTTCCTAGCATGAAAATCTGTTGCATTATTTAAAAATGAAGAAGAAGAAGAAGAAGAAGAAGAAGAAGAAGAAGAAGAAGAAGAAGAA